TTGGGGTGAGAGAAGGAAGACAGGATAAAGACATGCTGTGGAAGAGAGACAGAGGTTAATAACAGATATGATTCAATGCAGAGAGGTCTATTAATACATAGTGAGTGAGAAAGGTGACTGGAAAGGAAAAACTCAATGCATCATGTTTGTCAGTAACTCTTTCACAGTTACACAACCAGATCCCATAATTATGGAGCGAGCAAGCTGACATTATCAGTAGATAATATAGTTTAAGTAACTCATCTGATAAAAAGCATGATATGGATTGTGTAATTTCTTGGTTTGACATGCATATTAGTCACTGGTAAATGGACCAAAACCAGTGTAAAATGCAGCAATACAGAAATTAGCCCTTGTAAATGTGTTTGTAGCATACATATTTTTGCCCATGTGACCTCAACCTGGATAAACAGTAGAAAATTACCATGAATAAGAATTAGTATATAAATAAGTTACCGTGTTAATTATTCCATTATTACAATCTTCATTCCTGTTGGCTAGTTAATAGTTTGTTTGTTTTTTTAAGCTTAAAAATGTGTGTCACAGCCTGTCTTTGGTTGCAAGATGATTTTAATTTTGAGCTTTGCAGTATGACTGTTTTGGAGGGACTAAAATATTATCACAATTTTTTCACCCTTTTATCTTTCAATTCAGAATTAGGTTTTAGCCTTTTTTTTTTTTTTAAGTTTTGCTCTAATTTTGGCTGGATAAATTGGACATTCAACATTTTTGAAACCATCAGACTTCCATCTGATGGTTTGGTACAATCAGATGGAAGTCAGATCAGCCAAGCTCATTGAACCTGTCTGCTGGAGTATGTAGTGTCTTAAATTTGACGCCTAATCCCTACAAAGTAATGAGATGCTTTGACTTGAACACATGATGGCCAGTGCAAACAAATTGGTCCTTCACCTGTCAGGAGTGCATTTATATTAAATTTTAGTCTGTTAGTTCTCTCTGCTAAATAATTGTTGTGCTGTGGTGAAATATTTTCTGCGGTGTCACTTGTCAGCATTGTTGTTCCCGCTCTACATCTTTGCTATGAAGTATTGCTCCCAGAGGGGTGACAGGTGTTTGACAGACTCAAATTTAAATGGACAACCAGCGCTTAGGTTCATGCACGATTTATAGGAAGCCTGCCCAAAGTTCATCTTTCTGCTGATGAACAACACAGTCATGGAAAAAAAAATGTGTGTGAGATGACAGGACCTACTTACCATGCCAGTGTGGGTCCTGCATAGCACAATTAAAGTTGTGTAATCCATTTGAGTAACACTGAGGATTTTTTTTTTTATTATTTCTCAGTGTCAACAGACTTCAACATACGGCTTTCATCGTCTTCCAGAAACACTACAGCGACGTCAAAGTGGAGAAAAAGTAAGAGAGCTTTTTTGCTTTGCTGAGTTTTACCTTTTTACATGTTGCTGTGTTTTCTGTCACGTGGTTCTACAGGGAGTGCAGAATTATTAGGCAACTTGTATTTTTGAGGAATAATTTTATTATTGAACAACAACCATGTTCTCAATGAACCCAAAAAACTCATTAATATCAAAGCTGAATGTTTTTGGAAGTAG